GTTTATCCCCACAAAACACACACACACACACACACACACACACACACACACACCTAATGTAAATGGACTTAGAGCCTGTTTAATGCACAGGTATGCACATGCACAGATGCACACACAAACAGTCCCAGTGGTGGCGGTTGGCTCTGAGACAGGAGTAAATGGCTAATGTGATTGTTTGTGACAGGCAGCCCGAGGCAGTGTGAGGAGCAGCTCAGTTCTCTGACAGGTGTTGCCTCCACACCTCCCTCACCTACTCCTCACCCCAACACTAACACACAGCCTACCTGCTGAGGAGCCAGGAGTGCACATGAGGAAATAGGCTGGGGGGGTGCTTGCTATATATATTTATATATATGTGTGTGTGTGTGTTTGTGTATTGTGACAGTGCTACAGCAGTATATGTGTGCGAATGTATGTCTGTGTGTGTCTGTGTTCTCCTCTGGGAAATAAGGCAGCTCCCAAACCACTCAAAGTGGAGTGTTTTAAGGTGGAATGGGGGAAAAAGAGGCGGGTGGAAAGACTTTTTCTTTAAGTCTCCAGCTGTGTTGTTGCCAGGGGATGCAGGGTCGCTGGAAAATGCAAAGAAGAGAAGGAAGCCCACCTGCTAAGCAGAGAGATTTTAGAGCGGCTGAGTTCTTGAATCAGATTCCCAGGTACCTGTCAATCTCCTCAAAACCTGAAGCAATGCAAGGAAATATATATAAACCAAGCACGTCTTTCTTTTCAATCTCGGGAGTGAATTTAGTTCTTCTTTCTTTCAGGTCTTTTTGGGGTTTTGTGAGGTATGTGTCACATTTTTGACAGTGGATAAATCAAGCTGGGAACAATGAAAGTGTTAGACAGTTAAGCAAAAAAAAAAGTGAGAGTCAGAGGTGAGACCGAACAAGAAGGACAGGTGAGAAAAGGAAAAGGTGGAAAAGGAGAGGCGATGGGGGAGTCGTATGCTGTCTAGGCTTCTCACATACAATCTATTTCAACACCTGAAAGCAGCAAAAACCTCCTCCTTCTTTTTACCTAAACGTACAAATAAAATGATGCTTTGCACCTGTACCCAGCCGAACTCCAAGCTTCCTTTCCATTACACACACACAAACACACGCGCACAAACACACACACACACACACACACAGGAACCCTTTAATCCAAGTGTTAACAAAAAGATGCTCAAACCTGTCGAACACACCCATCACCAATGACAGAGTTGGGTCAGTAGTTATTTTCAACTCTGTACAACCACAGACAGAATAAACCTTCTACACACACAAACACACATCTACACACACTGACAGGTTGTATTGACTTGTCATGTCAGAAAAAGTAGAAAACAAAGCTGTGAGTTAAGAGCATTCAATTTCACATTGCAATGCAACATCATTAAATGATTGGAGCCCATATCGGTGTAAGCTAAGCCAGCGGCTTCATTCAGTATTCATTACAGCTGGCTGGCACACCAAAAAGACACTGCAAGACAAATCAATTAGAGAGGAGAGAGAGTGGGAGAAAGGGCTGTAGGAGGAAATCCATAGTGTATCATTTTAACAAAGAGAAGCAAGTGAAAAAACACCAGGGAGGGAGTCACAAATTAATGATCAGCTATAGATCGCTGCTAATCAATATACTGTACATGTAAGCCTCTAGGGTTAACACACACTTGTTAAACATTACAAATCTCTCTGGCAATCACCTCTCTTTCAATCCTACACAACTCTGTTAGTTGACTCATAAATAAGGTTTCTGTACATTTGAAATAGTGTCAAAGCAGAGCTATCACATAAAGCACATGTAGACAATAATGAGAGCAACCACTACATCTAAATGTTTACCAGAAACAAATAATAGGATTCTTGTCTACAGGCTAAAAGCAGGGGTTAATCAAGAAATGCATGTAAACCCTGTGACACTGATGGGAATAAGTCTTAACATTCATAGTACATCGATCAGCCATAACATTATGACCACCTGGGCACGCTGGTGGTCATAATGTTATGCAGCCCCATACCAACAAACTGTGATGTGCAGTCTGAGCTACAGTAGCTTGTCTGTTGGATCAGACCACACGGGTCAGCCTTCACTCCCCACGTGCAT